GAAGGAGAGTAAAAATTTACACCAAGTAATAGCCTTTACTAAAACTGATTCTAGAAATATCACAAAGGGAAGACATTTGTTGTTGAAGATTCTATTATTTCTTTCCATCCAAGGAGTACACAAGAAGGCTCTAATGATTTGAACCCAAAGATTGTATTTCTCCTTCTTGAGAGGATGACCGTCAAAGAAAGCATGCATGAGAATACTCAAACTTCCATGGATAAGGGTCTGCCATCCGAAGTAGACTAGGATCTTGGACAAAAATCTTTCCATAGCATGATTTACTTAATCTTTTACTATTTCCCCTTACAGAAATAGAAAAACCAACTATAATGTACAGCTTCTTGATTGGACCAGAAATCAAAATAAAATATAACAGAGAATAGGACTTAAAATTATTAAGGACTCGCCACATCTTGATGCTTCACCGTACTAATTTTGCTTTAATAGTAGATGAGAAACTTTTAGTTGTTTGGATGGCAAGTAACAGGAGGGAGTGAATGGAACTTTTGATAACTACTTGATATAGCCATATAGGTGTTCTATGATAAGCATTTATCTTTCATTGTCTGGTTCTACCATTTCTTTTGAAATAAAAAGATGAAAAGCATCTATAAGCTGACGACTGTAATTCTGGGGCATGCAAAATTATTGTCATCTTAAAACTAGCACAATCAGATTCTAAAGTTCAGGAAACAAGGAAGTTAAGGAAGATATGAAGACACTTCGTTAGAGGGGTCCTAAATCCATGTTCTTGTATCATATGTACAATAATTAAAAAAAAGTTCTTGTATTAAAAATGAACAATCTTGCATTTTTAAGTTTACCTCATGTACTACGCCAAGTTCTCATGCAAATTCTTTTTTTGGTAAGTTTTGCTTTTTACGAAAAAAAATTATTCTTTCTCATGTTTTATTCAGCACAAAGTTAATTATTAATGATGCACAGTTCAAGTATACAAGAAACTTGTACACTGAGATAACATATTTCCATTCATAGAAGATAGATTTAGTTAGAAAATGCCCTATTAGAGGATGTGGTAATTGCAGAACCTTAGTGGTCCTATGCATTGTAAAACAGACAACTTCAATCGGCGGTGCAGGAGGAGTTGGAAACATTATTAGATGACTCTGGACATTTGCGTACTCTTGCTTTCCTTTATGCAAGTAAAGGGATGAGCTCAAAGGCTCTTGCTATTTGGCGTATCTTGGGAAGAAATTATTCATCTCATCTTTTGAAGGACTCCTCTATGGATGAAGGTGCTCTAGACAACAATGTTGTAGATATATCTGGTAAGGAAATGGCTGCAGCAGAGGCATCGAAGATTCTCGAGGAATCATCTGATCAAGCATTGGTTCTTCAGCATCTCGGATGGGTATATGCCATCTCTACTGTTTTATGGACTTCTAAAATTTGCAAAGAATGCTGAGGCGTCATGAAATATTTTGCTAATTTGAACCGTATGCTTCTATTAGATTGCAGACATCAACCAGCACTTTGCTATTCAGATTTTGACATCAGAAAAAAGATCATCTCAATTATCACCAGGTATTTTTGCAAACTTGAAGTCAGTCATATTTTTCCAAAAAACAACACTTTTTTTATATATATTGTTTTTTATAAGAAACCGACTGTATTTAGAATGGAGGAAAAACAACCTAAGACCATGTTAGCTAAGGAAGGTAATGTATTCTAAAGCGTCATCAACCTTACACTTCTTCTGACCTGCCATTTACCGCTGCTTGGTGCAATGAAAAATTACCATCAGTGAACCACCACTGTTAACAAGGGTAACATGGCCAATAGAGATCCTCTGTAGTAACCTTTAACCTTAATAGTTGCCTTGGTCAAGACTAACCTCACCTGAGCTACATCTTTAAAATCTGCACAAACATCTCCTATAGCATTGAATGTAAGAGAGGGAGAGCATCGCCCAAAATAGATTTGCATATTTGAATTTGCATTAAGGCATACAAGAGAGGGAGGCATGAGGGATACAAGAGTGCCAAGAGAGAACATCCTTAAGTTTCCTACCTGTAAAGATAGCTTTTCTATTCACTTGCATCCTTAACTCTATATATTATCTCTGATGTAATAGTTTTAAATCTATTAATGCATCCCTTTTTTCCCCTAAATTTCAGATGACATAGTAAGGGCTATTGATCCCAGGAAGGTAGAAATTCTTCAAAGGTGTGTCTTAAATTTACTTCAGCATCAATAATTTTGCAAGTACTTTTTTTCTTCTTTGTCCTGATTCTGTTTAGGGTGGTTCATGAGATATTTAATCTAGGAAAGTTTGATGGAAAATCATCTCTCATAGAGTACAATGCAATGAGATGACTTGCCATGGGTTTGTGGATTCGGTTGGTGAATTGTTAGGAAAGGTTTTTTTGAGTTAGGAGTTCATGTAATTGTATGAAAAGATGAAGCTGCAAAGATGGACTAAGAGATCCATTCCCAACCTGGCCCATAATAATCTAGAATTTAAAAAGTGGAAGTATTCCTTTAATCTCTAGTAATTGAGATCGAGGAAACATGTTAAGTTAAGTTCCTATCTTGTTCACCTCTAATTTTAAAAGATGGCTCTACCTACAATTTATAATTTTTTGACTTTTGACGTCGAAATGATTGCTCTATCACTTAAAAGATCTAAAATTCAAACTCAAAATCTAGCAAGCATTGTGTATGCATTTAATATGGATGCCAACAAGGGTGTACAACCTAAGGAAAACAATACATCAGATAAAAGTCATTGTTATGCAGTTGGAGGTCTTCCCACAACTCTACTTGTCTGCTCTCTCCCACATTGAAAATGCAGGCCTAAGTTTTCTTGTAGCACTGGTTTTGAATGAGCATTAAAGATGGAAAGATAACCTATAGGAATTTTTAGATAAGGTAACTTGGATGAGAATACTCCCTTTCGAAAGCAAAGCTTTTCTAATGTGAGTTGTTCTTACCCCTTGATACTTGAACCCTAAAACTCTCAGGAATTTGGAATATGATGGACAAGAATCACCCAATACCTCTTTCAACTATGACATTGATAAGAAGCGATTATTTACTAAACTACATGGGTGGAATGGTTGGTTTTTAAACTATAGATCAAATAGAACTCGAGCTCAAACAGAAAAAAAAAAGTATATTCTTTTTGGTCATATTTTGTTTCTTATAAAAATATTTTCTGGTTGATATCCACATGTGTTTAGGTATCTTCAGTGGTTGATTGAAGACCAAGAATCTTGCGATCCTCAATTCCACTCACTGTATGCTCTCTCATTGGCTAAATCAGCAATCGAAGTTGAAAGTACTCAAAACCTGGATCCAGGAGGATCAGAGGACACAAAAATTTATGATCTGAGAACTAAATCAATTTTTGAACAGCCGATCCATGAAAGGTTACAGATCTTTTTACAGTCTTCGGATTTGTATGACCCAGAAGAGGTTTTAGACTTGATTGAAGGATCAGAATTATGGTTGGAAAAGGTCGTTTTGATATTCTTTTATTGATTATCCTGTATATGGATTCTCTATTTGAGGTTTTCTTTCAATTCCTTTTCTACACGTGCCTGTCTTAAATCTTTATGCATGATGCCATAGTAAGCTCTAAACTTTGTTAGATGCCAGACTTTACTCCAATGTACGGTTATGTCCGGCTGGCATTTATTTACTTATGTCTGTGTTTCATCTAATGCTTTTTTTTTCTGTATGACTGGACAGGCTATTCTATACCGGAAACTAGGGCAAGAGGCAATAGTGCTCCGGATTCTAGCCTTGTAAGTTTCATATGGGATTCTAACAGTTCATATAAGTTTAAAAAGATGTTAAATACGAATCACTAATCCAGAATGTAGTTTGGGGGCATCGCAGGACAGATTTTGCAATTCTTATAATCACCTGGTGACAAAATTATTTGCATTTATAACCGTTCCGATTAGATAATTTTTTAATCTAATTTTTTTACCAGTTCTTAAACTAAGATTCTCATTGGGGAATTGGAAGCTTAAATTTGTTGCATTTTGAATATATTCTCGTGTGAATTTATAATGTACAAACTCCTGGAGCATCATTCAACCTATGGAATATATATTTTACGTCAACATAATCAGTTATTTCACAGAATATTGTATAACATGTCAGGAAACTTGAAGACAGTGAAGCTGCTGAGCAGTACTGTGCTGAAATTGGCAGATCAGATGCCTACATGCAGTTAATTTCCTTCTATTTGTTTGGTCTGTTGCGCTCTCAGTTTCTCATTGCCCAAACTCTCCAATTTCAATGACGTGTATGATCAACATGTTAATTGTAGGTTACTCGATATGTATTTGGATCCTCAAAATGGTAAGGAGCCTATGTTCAAAGCTGCTGTTCGCCTTCTTCACAACCATGGAGAATCATTGGATCCTTTGCAAGTCTTAGAGGTATCAGATACTCCATCCCTCAAGCATGCACCTCTTCCTTTATTTATTTATTTATATACATACATGCCAACTTGAGCATAACTTAACTAATTAGGATATATACCTTTGACCAAAAGGTCGGTGGTTTGAATACATTTTTATAAACCAAGGTAATTTCTTTGAGAAACAATGGATCTCCTTTACCATCTCTGTTTTGGCCTCGAATCAATGAATTCATTCATAAGCAAAGCTAAACGTAATTTATTACTTTTTGGGAGTTGAGAGATAAATGGTAGAATTCTTCAAGAGATATCCAGCTGTTATATCTAATGTCACTGGTTTGTTATTTTCTTTGTCCTTTAGAGGTGATAGGGCATCTAACCATCCCCCTTTAGTGTATTTTTGTTCTGTATCATTATGTTATTTCTCCCTAAAAAACCAAAATTCAAAAACAGAGAGTTAAAAAATTAAATGAAAAAAAAAGATTAGATTGAGGATTTTTTGTTATGAATCATTTTATCCTGTGAAAATAACTGTATTTTGTACCCATTTGATTTTCACTCCTCCCATTGTAAATGCTCTTTCTATTCCCCATCTGATGGTATGTAAGTAATTATATTATATCTTTTTGTGTTCTTAACAAAATTTGGTTTCAAGTGCAGGCTTTGTCCTCGGATGTACCACTTCAAATTGCTTCAGAGACAATATTAAGAATGTTGAGAGCTCGATTACATCATCACTGTCAAGGACAGGTTCTCTCTCTCTGTCTATCATATCTTTTGAAAAAAGTGGTGATCAACTCCTTTGGATATTTTTGTTGTATCTCAAGGAAGAAAGAACACGAAAATATTTGTCTTCTGGTGACGATTTCTTCGATAATGCATTGATCAATAAATTTTGAAAAATTTGTGAACTACTGGCACCTTACAAATCAATCTGAGTGGAGTGGACCAACTTGATTTGTGAGTTTTACACCCCTGCAATATATGATCAGAAGCTTAATTACTTCTCACTTTTTTCAGATTGTACATAATGTTTCCCGTGCGCTAGACATCGAGGCAAGGTTGGCTAGATTGGAGGAAAGATCAAGACACGTGCAGATCAATGATGAGAGCCTCTGCGATTCTTGTCATGCACGCCTTGGAACTAAGTTGTTTGCAATGTACCCAGATGACACAATTGTCTGTTATAAGGTTGGTAACACGGCTCTTCTGCCATCTATTAGAAGTATATATAAGAAGTAAGATTTCGGGTTTTGAAAGCTTTTGCACACGATCGCCGAGTACCATCTGTCTCTTGTATCTCTCCAATCTTAAAACAGAACCTGTTATTTTCTTGGAGTCTTGAAGAGCTGCATTTTTTCGCATATGAATACGTTTCTCTTTCCTCGTGCAGTGCTACCGTCGTCAGGGCGAGTCCACCTCGGTCACAGGCCGCAACTTCAAGCAAGATATCTTGATCAAACCCGGTTGGCTTGTAATGGAATGACGATGAAGACCGGACGAAACTCGCTGGCTGAGGCAGTCATTTACCTTCGTCCAAAGCCTGTGAGGCTGGAAATGTAAATCAATTTTTGATTATGTTGGAGCTCAAGAGAATAACTAAGAGGCATATTTATAAAGCTTGTCGTCAGTAAAAGATCCTCCCCTGCCAGCTTATGATCTTGTAGCATACATCTGAATTTCTTCTAAATGATGAAAGATTTTCAGTGTTGCACTTGTTCTTAAGATTGTAATCGCATTGAGATGTATATTTTTTTTCATAAAGCTCATAATTTGGTGAGAAATTTCATGGCTTTGAGGAACTCAGTACTTTTACTAACGTTATTTGGATCGAATATGTAATGTTTTGGTTCTGGAACTTACAAATTTAATACGATTTAGTTTAATTTAATTTTTCTAATTTAAAGTTTAGAATGATATAGTCCTTATCTGTAAACTCTAATCTAATTTAAAGTTTAGAATGATCTAGTTCCTCACGATGACCTTAGAAAAATAATAAACTGACCAATAATATCTCAGCGTCTAATATACATACATTCAACTCAATTCAATATCATATGAACTTCATCAGCATTTAACAAGTTCAGCATATGAACTTGATCAGCATTTAACACGGCTAAAAGAATTCAACTTCTCTGAAATAAAACAACTCAATTAATAGTGTATTATGATTGTAATTTATCTAATCAATATTTAACATGGCTAAAAAAAATCAACTTGTCTGAAATAAAACAACTCAATTAATAGTATATTATGGTTGTAATTTATTTAGGTTTAAGGAATTAAACATTAAGAGGTTTGTTTGACATACTTCATAATATTGAATGGTAAAAAGAAAGACCATTTTTACCACACACAAGTAATGAAATATAAAATAATTTCTTATATGACGTCAACATAATTAATATTGTGTAAACAATATCCAAACCTACTTACTTAAACCTACTTACTTTAATGTTAACTTGTGGGAAATTAAATAACCATTTAAACCAATTTCTTAAATTTAATAACCAAATAGTATACAAAAATAAATGTCACGAATCAAAAATTAAAATTTTCCTACTCCTACCACATCAGCTTTCTCTTACTGTAGTCGATGAAAAAATAACAGTATAAAAATATTTTGAGATAATTTTGAAACTTTAAATTAAATTGTAAAATTTATAAATTTAGAAACTAAAAATAAATATTTGTTAAAAAAAAAAAAACTAAACTATGGATAGACCGACCAATTGCTTGACAACATTAGAAAAATGTGACTGTTATGTATTTTGATATGTATACATTTAAAATTTAAACTTAAGTAATGATTTTATATTTCATTGCAAACAAATTAAATGATATAAGAGATAAAGGATGATGTCGTAACAAACAAAATAAATAATTCTCAAATCAATCGAGGCCGAAAATTTTAAATGATATATGTTTCAGCATGCAAATTGGATCCAGAAAAATTTCATCGAGTCATATTTTAGTCTTATAGAATTTGAATTTCATGATTAAATTTGCGCCTATCTTAATTTGTCTTGCCTTTGGTATTTATAAGAAAGATAAGAAATCAGCTGCAACAGCTTAGAGATCACGCACGTAACCTCTCAGCGAGATCTTCAATGCATGATTAATTTGCTTACTTGTTAGCGGTACAATTGGATGATTTTCATCCAATACAAGAAAAGTACAATCGACCGAATTACAATATGATCACGTGACTTATAGTTTGAAGATGCATGTATTCGAACAATTATGCTGCCTCACACGTGTCAAGTTTGAAATTCATCTTTCATCTATATAAAATTTTAAATGTTTTTTTTAAAAATTGGTTCTCAATTATCCTACAAGCTAGAAAAGTGGATAATTATAAAGATAAAAATATCCTAAAATAAATAAATGCAGGCTAAATATATTTTGTAGTCCAAAAAAAAATACGTGTGTTCTGCCCAACTAAGAGGTTGTAAGCTCGACTCTCACCTCCATATGTTGTACTAAATTTATATACATACACATGAATGTTCTTTTAATTTCGTTTATATAGTTTAGAAGTTATATTAAAATTAGTTTGTGAAAAAATTTACATAATTTATTTGTTCTTATAAATTATAATAAATAAATAAATAATCTAAAATTAATTTATATCCTTCCATTTAAAGTTTCATCTGAATACTTTTCTTTCGAAATGATTTATGTATCATTGATTAATGTCTTGGTAGAAAATATTATTTTATTGAAACTGATGGTCATCGATTTTTATGTAACTATGCGACTCGACGAAATTTTCCTTGTCAAATTTATAATAAATCAAAATATGTAAATAGTCATTATTTATTCTTCTATCGTAGGAGGGGTTGATTGAGAGTGTTTGAACCACTCACATAATCATTGAACTCTCACCAATATATGTTACTCAGTGAATTAAAAAAAAAGTTTTAAGAAGAAAAAATAAAGAATAAAATTTACAATAAATTATTAAAAAATTTCAAGTTTTATTATCTAAGTGACTTTTTTCTTCTTCTAACTCTGGTGAATATCATGTTTTATCATAAGTACACAATAATAAGAAACTAAATGGTAAAATATTATTACCTAAAAAAAGGTAAAATGTTAAAACATAGTGATTAAATTGGAATTTTTTAAAAACATGGGTTAAATTAAAAAGGCACCCAATATGACAAGGATTATAATTTACAACACATATTTAGCCATTAATAAATTTCACAAATAAATAAGATATAAATATTTGTTTGCCCTTAAAAAAGAAAATGAAAAAAAAGGAAAGAAAGAAAAAGAAAAAGAAAAAAAAGAGGGAGAGAGA